CAGAACCGTGGCGGAGGAAAACAACATTGTGCGATATCCCTTTTTATGGTCCAGACGCTCAAACTTGAGCATTCACATCAAAACGCTTGCATTGCGAACATCTCACTGTTGGCGCTGCCGAAAGGCACAAGGCAAGTCGGAGAGTAAGAACAGAGTGGCCGAGACGCACTACATGCGAAGTGCTGAACATCGGACAGGTGGCACAACTGCGGTAGAACGGCACGCAGTGCACATGAAGCACCTGGCCTGACCTAACATGCCGAGTACGTCTGTCAAAACGGTTGCGATCAGATCGGCGCACAAGTTCCAGGGGTGGAGGAAGATAGAACAAGAAGGAGAGAGGTAAATCAACGTACACCTCACAACAATGCCGTGACCCCCCAACATATCGTGGCCAACGATTGTGAAAACCGCTCTTACCAATCTCATCAGGGCGAGGCATGCAAGATATTTGAGGCACCAGACGGTATCGATACCGATGCTTCATGGCCCTCTCCTGGGGTGCCTTCTGACCAGACTCCCGAGGCGAATCCAGCGGTGGCGACGAGGGCCTCCCAGGAGGCCCAACGAGGCGCAAACGAGGCAAGGGTAGCGGTATGTGTGTCTGGAGAACCTGGGGCGGATCGGGAAAGGAGACGCTGCCATGAGCTCTCGGTGGCACGGAGGGCGTGGCCCTGCAGGTAGGGGTGACCTTTGGTGTGCAGCTTGGGGGGGGGGCTGCGGGGGAGGGAGGGGGCCAGATCCAAGCGCGTGGGCCAGTGCCTGAGGGAGCCCTGGTGGGCCCGCACCAAAGGTCAATTTGGCGAAGGGTCGCTCTCACGCGCAGCTGAATCTTGGTCCTGCAGGATCTGCCTCGTGGCAGCCCAACGCGCTGGGACAGCGCAGTAGAACATGATCGACCCACGAACCCGGAAAGGAATATAGAAATGTAAGGCATTGTAACATTTCAAAGACACCTGATTGGGCGACGGGCACATGCAATGCTAAATGTATCGATGATGATGTACTGTGCCGAGGGCTGTGCTGTGCTACGCCGTGCTGAACTGCGATGTGCCATGCCGCGATTGTTTTCTATATAGCGTTGTGGATCGAGTCCTCCCTGGCATCCGAGTCCTCACCGAACTGATCTGGAGCGTAAGCTCGAGCTGCTCAGGATGGTAGCTGCCCCAGAATTAATCGACAGAGGGAACATGCCAAGAGGACGCGCCGCGGAACGTCCCAAGGGACGCGCCAGGCGACGTGCCAGGGGACGTGCCATGGGGACGCACCGTGGGACGTGCCAAGGGGACGCGCTACGGAACGTGCCAATGGACGTGCCGAGGGACGTGCCATGGGACGCGCCGCGCGACGTGCCAGGTGGACTCGCCACGGAACGCGCCAAGGAACGTGCCAAAGTGTATAGTTGAGTGTATCGATATTGATGTACCGTGCCGACGGCTGTGCTGTGCTGGGCCGTGCTGAACTGCGATGCGTCATGCCGCGATTGTGCTCTCTCTCTCTCTCGTGCCAAAGTGTATAGTTGAGTGTATCGATATTGATGTACCGTGCCGACGGCTGTGCTGTGCTGGGCCGTGCTGAACTGCGATGCGTCATGCCGCGATTGTGCTCTCTCTCTCTCTCTCTCTCTCTCTCTATAGATATAGATATAGCGTTGTGGATCGAGTCCTCCCTGGCATCCGAGTCCTCACCGAACTGATCTGGATCGTAAGCTCGAGCTGCCTGAGCAGATGGTAGCTGCCCCAGAACTAATCGACAGAGGGAACATGCCAAGAGGACGCGCCGCGGAACGTCCCAAGGGACGCGCCAGGGGACGTGCCAGGGGACGTGCCATGGGCACGCACCGTGGGACGTGCCAAGGGGACGCGCTACGGAACGTGCCAATGGACGTGCACCGCGCGACGTGCCAGGGGGACTCGCCACGGGACGCTCCGCGGAACGTGCCAAGCAACATGCCAGGCTGCAGTGCTAAAGGTATCGATATTGATGTACCGTGCCGAGGGCTGTGCTGTGCCTGGGCGACCTGGACACGTGAAAACACGCGTTTCGCTCAAGACGTTGTCAGCACATCCTCATGCTAGACATCCGCTTGGGCAACCTGGACACGTGCAAACAAAGCGTCTCGCTCGAGACATCCTCAACAAATGCTCATGTTAGACATCCGCCTGGGCGACCTGGACACGTGAAAACAAGCCTCTGGTTCGAGACATCCTCAACAAATCCTCATGCTAGACATCTGTCTGGGCCACCTGGAGGCGTGAAACCAAGCGTCTCGCTCGAGGCATCCTCAAGACCAGGGCACGAATCCACTTGAGAGATCCTCAGAATTCAGGCCCCCAGGAGAGGACAATCTATAACACAAAACAAGCGTTTCGCTCGAGACATCCTCAACAAATTCTGAAAAACAAGCGTTTCGCTCGAGACATCCTCAAATCCCACCAGCCCTTTGGGCGTGAGTGGTTCAGCGAGCTCTCTCTGTCCTCAACCCCCCTTCTTCCCCTTCGGGGAGGGGTTTACCCCTCCCCCTACCCCCTCCCCCTGGGCCTGGAGGGGGTGTTCCGCGGGTCGCCGGGGGGGTCTTTTTCGACTCCTCGGAGGGCTAAAAAACGACACCCCTCACGAGGATTCTGGCCCCGACGGGGGGACGGAGATAAGGTACCCTCCTCTTCCTTGAAGCCAAAAACATTGATTTTACTACGGTTTTGGCTCCATTTGGCCCTTCTGAGGGGGCAGCGCTCATGCAAGCTCCCCCCTCCCGTCAAGGCAATATTATTGATTTTACTAAGGTTTTGGGCTCATTTTGCCCTTCCGAGGGAGCAGCGCTCATTAAAGCTCCCCTCTTCTTGGATCCATGCCCTCCAAGATGGCCCCCCGAAGCGCCCAGGAGGCACCAAGAGGCCCCAAGATGGCCCCAAGAGGCCCCCCGGAGGCCCCCAACCGGGCGCGCCGGGCGCGCCGGTCGCGCCGGTCGCGCCGGTCGTGCTGATCGTGCCGGTCGCGCCGGTCGCGCCGGTGCCGGTCGCGCCGGTCGAGCCGGTTGTGCCGGTCGCGCCGGTCGCGCCGGTCGCGCCGGGTGCGCCGGTCGCGCCGGTCGCGCCGGTCGCGCCGGTCGCCGGTGCCGGTCGCGCCGGTCGCGCCGGTCGCGCCGGTGCCGGTCGCGCCGGTTGCGCCGGTCGCGCCGGTCGCGCCGGTCGCAATCGCGCTGGTCGCGCCGGTGCCGGTCGCGCCGGTCGCGCCGGTCGCGCCGGTTGGTTCTAGTTCGGTCCCCTTTGCCCCTCTGCGCGCCGCCAGCCTGCAGCGGAGGCCCGTGCCAAGAATCCACTTCCCAGCCCCCAGGCCTCATCAGCGTCTCGAGCCTTGCTCCCCCCCCCCCCCGCGCGGGGCACAGCGTGTCGGCGGGGCCGCCGCGGCGATGTCGCCCTAGAAGCCGCAGTCTCCGACCGAACCTCTCGGTGTGCCTGCCGGGGCCCGCTCCCCCACGACGCGCGTGCACGGCGGCGCCCTGCGCTGGCGCTGCCGTGCACGCTCTGCTCTGTTCGCGAAGCTTTCGCAACTGGTCCTCCTCCTCCTCCTCCTCCTCCTCCTCCTCCTCCTCCTCCTCCTCCTCCTCCTCCTCCTCCTCCTCCTCCTCCTCCTCCTCCTCCTCCTCCTCCCCTCCTCCTCCTCCTCCTCCCTCCCCCCTCCTCCCTCCTCCCCCCCCCCCCCTCCTCCCCCTCCCCCTCCTCCCCCTCCTCCTCTTCGGCTAGCGAGCGTGATACAAATGAATACAGATGCTTCGGTGACTGGCTTCGGCCCCGGGCCGGCCCACGGGTCCTCCAAGGTCGGCGGCGCGCGAGAGTGGCCCTTCGCCGGAGTGACCCTTCGGTGCTGGCCCAAAGGGGGTCCAGCAATTTCCCTTAGAGGTTGAGCTCGGCCTCGCGGCGGCGCACGCGGCATGGGGTGGCGCTCGCATCTGAGCGCACCAGGTGCCCCCCCGCGCAATCGACCGCAACGCATACGCGGTGCACCCTGCAGCGCGCGTTTTGTTTTCCGATGGTGGGCCTGGCCATCAACGGTCCCGAACCCCAGCCCAAATCCCGAGTCGCCAGGTTGCAGGAGTTCGGATACAACATGTTGGTGAGCTTTGAATGAGAAGCCTAACTCGTCAAGTTCTTTGCGCTTGGAAGTTAGGTGCGACTTGCAGGAAAGGGCTCCATCCGTTCAGGAAAGGCTGTCCTCTTTCTGCCACCTCTGATTGGGCCATTGACCGTGGATGTCAAACGAACAAGTTGCACTTTCACGTTTGCCGCGCTCGTGGGGGCGCCCGCGACTTGCACGTTTGTCGCGCTCGTGGGGGCGCCCGCGGAGGGGCCGTTTGTCGCCACCCCGACCTGTTCAGACGTTATATCTTCATGCGGCCCAGCAGTGCCAAAGCTCATCGCGGTGGCACCTGGCAGCGCCTGCTTTCGCAGCGCCCTCGGGGTGCCATCCAGGGCTCCCGGAATGAACTTGCGGAGCGCCGCAGTTTCACGCTGGCGCTAAGGATGTTCCGAGGTGCGTCGCGCTGATCGTTGGTGCGGTGAGACAGCAGCGGCTTTTGCGGGTTGCGCTGGGCCCCCGCGGGCGCCGCTAAAGCCGCGCACCACGTACCTGGGGTCACTTTAGGTGGCCCAAGGCAAGTCCTGGAACCGAGACTTGCCTTGGACAATGCGGCTAGGTGACGGACTCTATCGGTCAGATGGTCATGGGGCAAACATATCGGCATAAAGATACACTTTCGGAACTCCGCGCGGATTTCTCGGATCCGCGCTGGACTCCTTCGCTGCCACGCGGAGCGCGCCGGGGGTGGTGCCAGAGGCGCCGACAGGGGGGTCCAGCGCCGATCCAAGACAAGAACTCTACGCGGGGCTCAGGAAGTTTACGTTTATGCAGTTCTTATGTCTTCGAGATCTGGGAGAGGCGGGCCTCGAGCTTTGAACAAGGAAGGCGAGGGGAGCGTCTCTGAGCTGCCCCCCGCGGAGGAGGGCGCATCTCCATCGACGCACGGCCGGGGCGCCAGCGCGTCGTATTCCCTGTCGAGCCCCGTGCCGCATGCGGCCTTGTGCGATGCAGAGCAGGCCGGAGTTGCAGCAGGAGGGCGGGAAGGAAGGCGGCAAGGCTTCGGGTGGCGCACAGACAGCCCCCCCCCAGGGAGCCCCGGCCGGCCTCACCAGGTCCCCCGAGCAGTCCCAGGTGGCCTCAGCAGGCCACCCGAGTAGTCGGGGACGGTCCCAACACTCTGGCACCGCCTCCGGCAGCGCCCCTGGTGCGTTGGGGTGTGAGACGGCCCTGGGCTACCGGGGAGGGCCAGCTGACGCCAGCCGGGTCTGCTCAGGGGGCCTGTGGAGGCCAGCCGGGGCCACACTTGGGGGGCCTGTCTGTGCGCAGCACGGCGCCCTGCCAGTGAGGAAGAGTAGCAGCGGGAGCCGCGGCAGCGGTACAAGCGGCCGCAGCAGCGAGGGCAAGTCGACGACATCTGTTGTACGCTGGTGCCTCCTCTGATCGCCGATGTGTGCAAGACGAAGAGGAGGCGCGGAGGGGAGGGGGAAGCAGAAGAGGAGAAGCAACATGATCAGCAGGAATACGATGATGGTGGTGATGATGATGACGATGCTGAAGATGCTCTGATGTTGTGACGGTCGTGATGATGATGTTCATGTTGATGTTGATGATTGTGATGACGATGACGATGATGGTGATGTTAATGATGATGGTAATCATCATCATCGTCACCATTGTAATGATGGTGATGGTGAACATGATGATGATGATCATCATCATGATGGTGATGGTGACAATTCTGACTACGCTGATACTGACGATGATGGTCATGCTAGTGACGGTGACGATGACGATGCTGATGATGATGCTGATGATGTTGATGATGATGATGCTGATGATGATGGTACTGATGATACCTGTGATGGTCATGATGATGTTGATGCTGATGATTATGATGATGCTGATGGTGATGATGGTGGTGCTGGTGATGGTGGTAGTGATGATGATGTTGATCATGATCATGCTGATCATGATGGTGACGATGTTGACGATAATGCTGATGATGATGCTGCTGATGAAGATTGGTGGTGGTGATGATGATGTTGCTGATGATGCGGCTGATGAAGATGGTGACGATGCTGATATTGATGATGATAACGATGATGCTGTTGATGATGATGATGATGATGATGATGATGATCACGATGGTGATGATGATGATGATGATGATGATGACGATGATGATGATGATGATGATGATGATGATGATGATGACGGTGATGAGGAGGATGAGGATGAATACGACGACGACAACTATGGTGATAATTCGGATATTGATGCTGATGCTGATAATTTGATTGTATGATGATGCCACGATGGGTATTGTGATGTTGATACTGGTGATGCTAATGATCCGGATTATGCTGATGCTGTTGCTGATGCTGATGAGGATGAGGAGGAGGAGGGGGATGCTGCTGATGATGACAATGCTGAAAATGATGATGATGATGATGTTGCTGCTGGCGATGATGGCGATCATCATCATCATCATTATCATCATCGTCACCATGTTGGTGATGATGATGATGGTACATATGATGATGATGATGGTGATGGTGATGATGATGATGATGACGCTGATGATGATGATGATGATGATGAAACTGATGATGATGCTGATGCTGATGATGCTAATGATGATGATGATGATGATGACGACGACGACGACGATGATGATGATGATGATGACGACGATGTTGATGATGATGATGATGATGATGATGATGATGATGATGATGATCATGAGGATGAGGATGAGGATGAGGATGAGGATGAGGAAGAGGATGATGCTGATGCTGATGCTGATGCTGATGCTGATGCTGATGCTGATGATGCTGATGCTGATGCTGATGCTGATGCTGATGCTGATGCTGATGCTGATGCTGATGATGAAGATGACGATGACGATGACGATGATGATGATGATGCTGCTGATGCTGATGCTGATGCTGATGCTGATGCTGGTGCTGGTGCTGGTGCTGATGATGATGATGGTGCTGATGCTGATGATGCTGCTGATGATGATGAGGATGAGGATGAGGATGAGGATGAGGATGCGGATGAGGATAAGGATGAGGATGAGGATGATGATGAGGATGATGATGATGCTGATGTTGATGCTGATGAATGAGATGATGATGATGCTGATGCTGATGCTGATGATGCTGGATGAATGTGGATGATGGTGATGGTGATGGTGATGGTGATGGTGATGGTGATGCTGATGCTGATGCGGAGTGATGATGATGATGATGAATGATGATGATGATGGTGATGGTGATGGTGATGGATGATGATGATGAGATGAGATGAGGATGACGAAGATGAGGATGAGGATGATTGAGGATGTTGAGGATGATGATGATGATGGTGATGGTGATGGTAATTGTGATGTGATGATGCTGATGCTGAATGCTGATGCTGAGCTGGCTGAGGCTGAGGCTGATGAGATGATGTGAGATGATGATGATGATGATGATGGATGATGATGATATGATGATGATATGATGATGATGATGATGATGACTGATGATGATGATGATGATGATGATGATGATGATGATGATGATGATGATGATGATGATGATGATGCTGATGCTGCTGCTGCTGATGATGATGATGCTGATGATGATGTTGATGATGATGATGATGATGATGATGATGATGATGATGATGATGATGATGATGATGATGATGATGATGATGCTGTTGCTGCTGCTGCTGATGATGATGATGATGATGATGACGATGAGGGGTTGACAGAAAATGACGACGAGTGCCGCCCCCTTCTCCTCCACTCCATAATGGTGTGCGACATACTACACCTTCACACGCGTCTGCTCTCTTGATCGCCCACGTTCGGCCTCGCGTACTGGTTCGTGGGCAGCAGCAGGAGGAGAATGGGGAGGGAAACGAAGGAGGAGAAGGAGGGGGAGGAAAAGAAGGTGGAGGGACTGAAGAGGAGGGGGAGCAGGAGAAGGAGGGGGAGTAGGAGGAGGAGGAGGAGGAGGAGGAGGAGGAGGTGGATGGGGGGGAGGAGGAAGAGGAGGAGGAGGAGGAGGAGGAGGAGGAGGAGGAGGAGGGGAGGGAGAGGAGGAGGGAGGAGGAGGAGGACGGGAGGAAGGAGAGGAGGAGGAGCGGGGGAGTAGCGGGGGAGGTGGAGGGGGGGGGGACTGTTGGATTGCTTTGTTGGCACCGAGGCTCAACCTCAACAGCTGCACCGCACCAAAGCCTCGTTGAAGACATGGCCTCAGTGAACGCCCCTCCTGAGGACGGTGGAGGGACTCTCAGTCATGTCATCACCGCCAGCTTGCACCGCCCCCGCGGAGCCACGGTACAATAGCTGCCTAAACAGCAGGGGGATGCGTCCCCGGAGTTCGGGCGCTTGGGAGGGGACCACATCTAGGGCGAAAACCGTGTCTAGGTCCTGGCGCCATGTTGCCCCCCCCCCCCCCCCGAGAAGGTGGGCCAGGAGAGCCAGAAACGAGGAGGAGGAGGAGGAGGAGGAGGAGGTGGAGGCTGAGGGGGAGGAGGAGGAGGAGGAGGAGGAGGAGGAGGAGGAGGACGGGGAGGCGGAGGGGGAGGGGCAGGACGGGGGGGAGGAGAGGGGGAGGAGGAAGGATTTGGAGCCTGAACCTGTGGGCGGGGGGCCGTCTCTGCACCGAGGGAGGCGCGAGCTCCGTCCCGCCGCCGCCCAGTCAGACATGCTGGGGCGGATCTGCCAGCCTGGTCGGGCCCTACGCTGCGCTTCGAGAGTCGGGGGCGTGCATGAGCAAGGTCACGCAACCACAGAGATCTATTGAAAACATCAAGACGGAGGTCTTTCGCAAAGTTCAGCCCCGAGGGGCCCTCGCCGGGCCCCGGGACCGTCAAACAACAACTCAGGATAAAAAGCCGGTCCTGGGGAATGGACCGAGGCTTCAGGGACCCCGTAATGCAAAACACACGACGCTGGATCTCAGGGACCACGGACTCAGTAAGGCGCGTGGACTTGCGAGGGGCCCCCTCTGGACCCAGCAGGGCGCGTGGATTTGCGATGGGGTCCCCTCTCTCCCTGCAGGAGTCGGCAGACTCCGTCGCCAGGCCGGTCGGCAGTGGCCTCCTGTTTCGGGGGATGCCTTCCCCGATCCGTCGAGCTGGTGCCCACGCGCCAGATCTGCGGGCTCCCGGTCCATGGCAGCGCGCGCCCGACGAGAGGGGGGCGGCGACTCTCTACAGATTGATGGGGGGGGCACTCTAGAGTCAGTGATGGGGGGGGGCACTGACGGCGTTCGTGATCGCATGGCCCCCTGGTTTGCGTGTGTATTCCCTCTCTCCCTCACTCTTGCCTCTCCTGACGACCGCTGCCCCTGTCGGCTCAGGTGCAGGAGCGCCCCTGGTGCATACAGGGCTGAGCAGCGCTGGGGGATGAAACCCTCTGTCGCCGTCACGATTCCCTTGCCAACGGATCCCCTTCGGACGGACGGTCGGGCCCTTCGTCTCCTCCTTGCCGTTCTCAGTTTCTTTCTTCAGTACACATGTTAGTATCATGTCTTCTTCTTCTATTATATTATTATTTCTTCTTAGTGATTCTTATTATTTCTCATGTTTCTTATTATGCTTCTTCTATTTTTCTTAGTGTTTCTTTTTATTTATCCTGTTTCTTCTTCTTCTTCTTCTTATTCTTCTTCTTCTTCTTCTTCTTCCCTTCGTTTCATCTTTTCGGCCCTGGCCCCCCCCGTCGTCCGCGCACGTGCCTCGGGACATCCTCTGCAGGCCCCTGCTCGTGGACGGCCTCCTCCGCGGACGGCCCCCGACGGGTAAGTCAAAGGGAGTTCGGCCGCTGCGGAGGTCCGATCGCCTGGGAAGTGGGCAGGCTCGGCCTGGCAGTTGGTCGCGTGGGTACTCCAGATTTCGCAATAAAAGGGAGGGGGTCTGGACCCTCCAAGACAAGCCATTTCAGACCTCCCCCGTGGGAGAACCCTCCAAAACATCGTCCCCAGACCCCCCCAGGCCCTCCAAGATAGCCTGGAAGAGA